TTCTTCGTCCTCCATGTTGGCATCGCTTTTGCCTGCCTCATGCTTCCTGGCTTCTATCTCTTCATGATTGATCGTTACTTGAGGTTCTTGCAATCTCGCCAAAACGTTCGTTCAGTCTCCGCTCGAATTCTACCCTGTGAAACCGTGGAGCTCAGCTTCTCCAAGACCAAAGGTACATAAGTGCATGTTCCAATTGTACAGGGGGGAAAAGAAAAATAAAATTAATCTACCAAATAATATGCCAACACAAGTTGGCTTAATTGACAAGCGCGGATAACCTTCTCACAAAAAGGTTGTATATTTGAATTTTGCTGCGAATGCGAGAACTATGTTAGTGGACTATCTATAAGAATTGTTCTAAGCGATGTATGGTTTTAAGGGTATGCCCTGATCCATGATGGTGAATAGAGTTGAATCTGTCCAAACTTTTAATTACAAAAAAAAAAAAACGAAAAAAACCAAATGATAGGTGATAGCAAATGATCACGAACTTCAGCTCTACATCAGGTTTCTTCTGAATGACAACGATGGCCTTCACTGTCCAAATGATGTGTTTATTTTTAAGAGGAATTTGTTCATTCATAGAAAATATGTTATGGAACTAAAATTGGTGCCGTGACATTATGAGCAACCATTCGTAATTACGCGTTCTTCCTTTTTCTTTTGATTCTTTGCATCCTCTAAAATTGATGAAAGCGAAATTAGTATGATTTTTAACTTTTTCCCCCCTTATTATCAGGTCTTAGCTATGCTCCAACAAGCATATTGTTCTTGAATGTACCGAGCATCTCGAAGTTACAGTGGCACCCTTTTACAATTACTTCAAGCAGTAATTTGGAGCCTGAAAAGCTGAGTGTCATCATTAAAGGTGACGGGAGCTGGACAAAGAAGCTCCATGAGATGCTTTCTTCCCCTTCTTCTGTGGATCATCTTGATGTGTCCATTGAAGGACCTTATGGACCAACTTCAACTGATTTCCTAAGGTACAAACAGTGTCCTTTACTCCTGTTCCGTGTCTAAGAAAAATGTAAGTACATCCGGACCAATGAAGACACTTGTCGCTACTTGATTTTTTTACCTATAATTTCTTATTCCGTTGGTTGCAGGCATGAATTGCTGGTGATGGTGAGTGGAGGCAGCGGAATCACTCCTTTCATCTCCATCATTCGTGAGCTTATGTACGCAAGCGAGACGCTGAAATGCAAGACTCCTTCAATTCTCCTCATCCCCTCATTCAAGAATTCTTCAGACTTGACCATGCTAGATCTGCTCCTCCCTATTGTTGGTTCCCCGGCAGAATTTTCCAACTTCGCTTTACAAATTGAGGCTTACGTAACGAGAGAAAAACAACCAGCACCAGAAGGCAAGAAGAGTCTCAGGACCGTCTGGTTCAAACCAAAGCCATCAGATTCACCAGTTGCTCCAATCTTGGGCAAAAACAGCTGGCTCTGGCTTGGTGCAATAATATCAGCATCTTTTATCATCTATCTTATCTTCATGGGGATTCTTACGAGATTCTACATTTATCCCATTGATCACAACACCAACGATGTCTATTCATGGTCTTCTAGAGCTGTGCTGAATATCCTTTTCATGTGCATTTCTATAATCATCGCAGCTACCGCGGCTTTTCTCTGGAACAAGAAACAAAATGCCATGGAGAACAAACAGATTCAGAACCTGGAAGGGGCAACTCCCGTAGCGTCACCCAACTCATGGTTCTATAATGCAGACAGAGAATTAGAAAGCTTACCCCAGCAGTCACTGGTCCTCTCTACCAATCTGCACTATGGTGAAAGGCCAGACCTAAAGAGTAAGTCAACTAATTGCAATATGACTAACTATATTATACTAGTGCAGGTAAATTCCTAAAGCATGACACATGGGTTTGATTAACAGCTTATATATGGCGAACAAAAATCGCATGGCCTGAAACCGTAGGAATTAGAGGCCATAAATTCAAATCGCTCCTTTCCTCTTTTTTCGCTTCTTAAATCTCACTACTCTTGTGTTACATGTATTTTTTTTTTTTAAGTATAAATGTGATTAGATGAGTGCAGGTTAATAATTATTCTGCCCATTTATCGTTCAGCAAAATTTACTGTAGGTTCCCATTGATTTTGGTCAACATAATCTACGTGCATGTTTTGATATCTTAAGGTTGGTTCTGACGCAGAAATTCTTTTTGAGCGCAAAGAATCCAGCGTTGGAGTTCTAGTTTGTGGACCGAAGAAGATGAGACATGAGGTTGCAAACATATGCTCTTCTGGTTTGGGAGCTAATTTGCATTTCGAGTCCATCAGTTTCAGCTGGTGATCGATCATATGACAATCTTCTGCCTTTTTTTCTTGTTTCCTTTTGTTAGCACTTGGGCAGAGTTGAGTGCTTCAAAATGTAAATGCGAATGTTGAATGTGAAAAAATTGCTTGCTTGTTTGAAAAATAAATAGAACTCCTCCTCATGTTTCATGAGAGGCTTCCAAATTTTAGATCAATCACTTGAAAGTTTATATTTTATTTGAAATGAGGTGAACTGCCTGCAAATTGTAACATGATGGCCATAATATTAATCAAGGAAAAAAGAAATCAGCATTGCTCCCAAAAGGCAACCCCCTCTAATGGATATGGCAATTGCTCTATTTGTAAAATATCTTTATCTAAATATTACTTTCGAGATTTATAATTTTAACAAGTGTTTGTTTAACGGGTGCCATTGGTCACTTGTTAAGATATAAGATATATTTTAGGTATCGTATTTTTTAAAATGTAGGATTAATCAATAAAAAGTAAATAGATACGATGGAGGATAGGTAACCACCCAATGAGTAAAAGAATAAATGATAGAAAGGATTATTTAGATGACCACCCAAGAAGATGAGTGGATCACTGTGTTTTTATTTTTTTTTTCGTTTTTTTCCTTCATATTACGCTTGTGTTTCTTTCCACAGTTAAAAGAAAACAAAATAGCGTCGATCAAGATGGGTTGGGTTGCTAGTTGGATTTCAATTGGACCCGTTCGTAAGATGATTGCGTGGTTGGAAACCTTTTTGGGCCTTTTGCCTTCTGGATTGGGTCATAATGGGCTTTTTTTCATTCTTCCTGGCTTCCCCTGAGGCCTTCAGAACGTAAATGTGGGTGGTTGGGAATCTTGAACGAAAAGATGCGAGGGTCAATCATGAATATTGTTAAAAATTGTTTGCAGAGCCCTAGTTCAAACTTGATTTTTATTTTTTATAGTAAATTTCATGATTTTATAATAAATAATTAAAAATTGTATTATAAATATACTATTGGATAAGACCCTACGAGTCTTCGAGTTTTGATTTTTTCTATTCGAACTCGACTCGATTATGTTATCAAGTAGTTCGAACTCAATTGGACTTGATCGAACTACTTGCGAGCCCGAGGCAAATAACTTGATTAATTTACACCCGTAGTTCTATTCTTTGATCCTCAAATTTTTCTTCTGTTGCTTATATATTCTCCTTATAAGGACCAGGGCTTTCATTAAATTAAAAAAAAATTAAGAAGCTACCAGGTTGATAGGCAAAAAACCATCTTAACAAAAGTTTTTCTGTTTCTTTTTTCGGACAAACGCATGCTGTAATAGGTAATGATTATTACTGGAGAATTGTTGTTCAGATTAGTCGTAATCAAGATTTAAGTAGGAAATCGTTATATTTGACTGATTTGAATAGGAAAAATTTAAGCAACAAAACGGGAAATGGCAGCAACTTCACATAATAATAAGGGTTAATTCCACTTTGTCCCCCCAAACTTTGGACGATTACCCACTTCAATCCCTAAACTTCAAAATGGGACACTTAAGTCCCTAAACTTATAAAATGGAACACTTTGACCACCAAGGCATTCAGGATTTTATCAACAATTTTCCTTAATTTGGAGGTATTTATAAGTTTAGGAACTTAAGTGTCACACATGGCATTGGCTGATGGCTGCAAAATGGAAAGAGAGACAAAGTCGTCAATGTCATCACCTAATTGCATATTCTGCAGATCATAATAAATAAAAGCTTCACTTGTAATTTATCCTTAATCGAAGCAAAATTTTCTAGAGTTTGAACTAGTTTGACAGCTACAGTTGATTTCTAGGTTTTCATTTCATTCAACTGCAAACAGCTTGTCAATTAAATGGTCAAGAATTGGTCTCAATCTACAGTAAAAAACACAGAATTATCCAATGCTAAACGCAGCTCGATTCAACTTAAAATCGAAAAAATGAAGTTCTATTTCTGTCCCTAGCCATGCATCACCATCTAACCATTCATTGTATTACCCCCTCTCTCTCCCCCCCCCCCCCCCAAACACAAAAAAAAAAAAAAAAAAAGTGGAAAGGTAAAAGTAATTCGATCAGGGAAAATGGCTTGAGCTTTAATCCAATTGTACTAAACTCTGAAAAGCACAATATTATGTTACACCAAGCGTCAAAACTAATTAACGATGGATGCAGCCACTTCTAATTCTATCGAAATTTAAGTATTTCATTCCATTGAAATGGAATCAATGACATTTTCCCTCATCAAACTTCTTACCATACCATGTTAACAAATTCTTCTTCTTCTTCTTCTTCTTCTTTTTTTTTTTATTTTAAGAAATTAACCATGTAAGTATTTCCTCTAATACACATTGTTTTGGAAAAAAAAAAAAAATCGATTACGTGCTATGAAATCTAGGTACAGTAAAATATCTCTTTCAAGTAGTAGTCTAGAAACAACAAAAAGTTTTTATGTTACTTACTTCTTTACTTTTACCTTTGAAATGTGGTAAAACAAATCTGGTTGTATGTCTATTGGTGACCGTTGTTATGACCATATCATCAAGTCACCATTCACCAATTACCCCCCCGGAACCCCCACCAACCCCCCACACACACACTCACACCCACACTCACACACTACTTCTGATTTAAGCAGGTCACATATACACATACTACAATTCAGCGTATATATATACATATCATTGTGACGCGAACCCCACACCACAAGGACTTCTCTTCTCCTATAGAGCAGATACTCACACACACACCATTCCACCACCAAAAACCCCAGATTTCACACACTCCCTGAGGGAAGCAATGGAAGAGGATAAGATGTTATCAGCTCCTCATGGAGGAGGAGCAAAAGCAAAAGCAACCAACATCATCCGCGGTGCAATAGTGGGACTATGTATAATTGTATTTCTTGGTTATATCATGATGTGGTGCATCATGCCAACTGATACGTATTACAACAAATGGGTTCCTCACATCATGGCCAGCACCAATTCAACTTACTTCGGATTACAAGGTTAAATGCAGATTCATCATTGTTCATACATATATATATATATTCAAAAATTAAAGTTTTTTTTTTTTTGTTTCTGCTGCAGGTCCAATACTGCTGGATTTTACATTTCCTATCTTGTTCATTGCTGTTATGGGATGCATATATACTCATTTGGGAAAGGGAATGGAGAGCAGTGACAGGAAAAAGGATCCGTTCAAGAAGTTGAGGCGGCCCATGATCATCAAAGGCCTCGGAATTGTTAACTGGATAGAGCTTTTCTTTTTTGCCATGTTCATCCTCCTCTGCCTGTGGTACTTCTCTTCTTTCATGCATTTCTGGTACGAGAAGATCAACATGGAAGCCATGTCTCGAGGAGATAAGCTGTAAGAAAAATCTACTGTATTTAATGATCCGCGTCGCTAGAATATAATTATAGAGTGATGTGATTAATTGGTGGCCTCTAAATTAAATTTTCAGGTGGCAAGCGAAGTTGGAAAGATTTGCTTTGGTGATTGGTCTGGCGGGGAATGTATGCTTGACATTTCTCTTCTTTCCGGTGACAAGAGGATCATCAATATTGGCTTTCTTGGGTTTAACTTCAGAGGCCAGCATCAAGTACCACATTTGGCTTGGACACCTTTCCATGACCATGTTTACCGCTCATGGCTTTTCTTATCTCATTTATTGGGCTCTCACTCATCGGTTATCAGAGGTAATATTTTCCCCTCTTTCCATCATCTTTTTTTTTTTTTTTTTTTCTAAATTTAGAATAATTGAAATATATATATATTTTTAAAGTCCAGTCCATTGACTAAAGATTTATATGACAAAGAATAAATGAGATATTTTAACCGGAGAATATTCGACTCTAATGCATAAAATATCCATTTCCTTGCATTGTGAAAGGGAAATGAAACTTCTTTGTTCCTTTTTTTTTGGGGGGGGGGGGGGGTGTGTTCAGAGTCAAAAAATTTTGTCTTCCCAACGTAATTTCCCCACCCGTTCTTTTAACTTACTTATTTTAGAAAATTGTTTTTATGTGAAGAATGAAATCAATATAGGGGCAAAGTTCTAGTTTTACTTATAGAAAGAAACGAAAATACGGGGGTTCTATGGTACCTTTTGAATATTATACCGATAAGAATCAATTCATCATTAGATGTGGAAAAACAGATGTCAACCCAATATAATTTTAAAAATTTAAATTATCGAATAATATGGTAAGAGTTTATTGAATCATACCCAGAAGAGATCGTAGAATTTCCATGTAAACACAACGAAGGGAAATAAGCATAACTGAGATCCTAACTGTTGTTCGTTTCCCTCATGGCATTGAGTTTCTAAATTTGTTTTTCCCTTTGGCAAATAAGCGATAGAGATTGAAGATTTGATTCAGATCAACTTCAAGAAGGAGATAACTCCTTGTAGTCAGTCAGCATAGGGTGAATAATAACATTGCAGATGATGAATTTTGGTTGTGAAGAATAAACATTACGTTTTGGACCACTTATTAGGTTGATAAAATTGGTTTTCACTTCACAAATAAGCATATGATAATTGATTGCTCTTAGTTGGGATTAAAAAAAAAAAAAAAAAAAACCATAGGGGCAACGTTTGGTGGAAATAAATGCAAAAGAAATGACATTGAAATGTATGATCTCAATATTCGGAAGGTGGAAACTGAGATTGGACTAAATCAAAATAAGGTGACCAGAAGACTCCTAGCTACTACCTACCCTTAAGACCTTAAACTTTGTCAGCAATTATTGGATCAACAGTGAGTGCAGACCCTAGTGATCATTGTTCCTTGGATCTCATATTCAACTTTTGGTGGCACCTAACGTCACTTAATTGAAAAGATTAAGAAATATGTTAGCACAAATGTGAATCAAAGCAAAAGGTTAGGTGATTTTTACACTTTGTGTCAAGATCAAGAATGCGATTCCTGTTGGGGTCACTCCCAAAAGCAAAGCAGTACATCATGATGCTCTTTTGGATTTTGCAATGAAAAATAACGAAATTGGAATAAGACGTGTCGTGTTGGCTATATCTTTACTAATACTAACTTTGGATTGTGACGATTCTGTGAAGTTTCATTAACCCTTGAAGCTGGCACGTAGGATTGGGATTGATTTCTTGTAAAAAAAGTTTTTTTTCACGTTATTTTTCCTCTGTGAATATATGCTACAATTATCTTTTTTATCTCACGTACATCAAATTCCTACAATATATTTTTCTACAAAAACTCCTAAAAATAGCAATTCAAACACGTTACGATTAAGATTGATTTCTATGGAAACCTAATTACAAGAGTACGCTGCCCACGGAGTGTCAATTAATTTGTGAAGAAAAGAAATGAAACAGTGTTTCAGTTGTCTTTCTCTTTCGATTTCCAACAACATTCAGAGAGCAGTATCCATATGGTTTTTCATGGGAAGCCTAGCTACCCACCTGCAGTGCATGCAAAATTTCTACTCGTCACCTGCAGGATCATAATCTTGCTTAGTCCGCTGAGTGGTTATTGTGCAATAGAAAAGGGTGCATATTGGCCTCAAGAAAAACAGAAAAAATAAAAAAAGAAGAGGCTTTTTCCACTTTCTTGGTGGTTGGCACCATCACAAAAGGACAGAGGTGCTTTGAACTTTGAAGAAGTGCGAGGTCATGTTCTTGTTGATCGATCATTGGCTTCTGGAACCTGGGACCATTTTTAATACTGAAGTAGTGATCATAAGTCAATCAATCTAGCTACATATGCCTAAATCAAATCAAATTTAATAAAGCCATTTTGTTTTTAGAGACAGAAATTCCTGCCGTCATTGACAATTGCTCCATGGACAGCGATAGGCAGCATTCAGCAATATCATCCTCATATTGAAAACAAAGACCAATTGAACGTCATTTTTTTTTTTTTACGTGAGAAACATGTCATGCCACCGTCATCCTTTCCCAGTTGCATAGTTAAGAGTACTGTTTTAAATTCAAGATCATTTGTCACAATTTATTTACTTGCATCATTAACGTACTAATTTCATAGACATAGTTTTTAAATATTATTTATTTTAGTAACCGGATATTACCCACATCCACTTGAAGTAAAATCTCTGGAATCATTATGAACCATAATCGAATTCCAATAGCTAGCCTAAATTCACATGCTATATATGGAAGCCAATGATATTGTCAAAATTTTTTTGAGGAAAAAAGAAGAAGAAGAAGTAGATAGGTGATTACATTATTACCATTTGTTTTGACAAGGCATTTATTTTGCAACATTGTTGTTCTTAATTTGCAGGCGCTAAAATGGGATGAGATGTGGGATCAAACCTATGTAAACAACATAGCAGGAGAGCTATGCTTGCTGTCTGGATTAGTGATGTGGAGCACAACTTTCCCAAGCATCAGACGACGCATGTTTGAAGTCTTCTACTACACTCACAACCTCTACATCCTCTTCATCATTTTCTACATTCTTCACAAGGGCCTTTTTTTCATCTGCATTATGCTTCCTGGGATGTACCTCTTCGTGATCGATCGATTCCTGAGGTTCTTACAATCAAGACAAAAGGTCCGTCTAGTTTCTGCTCGTGTTCTACCCTGTGAAACTGTCGAGCTCAACTTCTCCAAAAGCCGAGGTAAATGAAGTTTTTCACCATTCTCTTACCGTTATGTTTGTCAAATACTCTGATTAAATGTGTACACCCAATAATGTCATCAAAATGTCGATACAGCTTTGAACTACACTCCAACAAGCACTATGTTCGTGAGTATCCCCATCATTTCTAAGCTGCAGTGGCATCCGTTCACCGTTACTTCCAACAGTCATTTGGAACCAGACACGCTCAGTGTGGTGATTAAATGCGAAGGGAGTTGGACTAAGAAGCTTTACGACCTGATTTCATCGCCTTCTTCTGTTGATCGTCTTCAAGCTTCTATTGAAGGACCCTATGGACCTCCAACAACTCACTTTCTCAGGTTTTTCTGTCCAGTCCAATCAGTATTTTAGCAGTAATCAGAATAACTATAGTTGCACCGTGAGCGTTTTTTGTGAACTGGTAAAACCCTTTAAATGCAGGCATGACATGCTTGTGATGGTCAGCGGAGGAAGTGGAATCACGCCTTTCATCTCTATCATCAGAGATTTGATGTTTATGAGCTCAGCACGAAAATGCAAGACTCCCAAGCTACTGCTGATCAGCACATTCAGGAACTCCTCGCATCTCTCCATGCTAGACCTTCTCCTTCCAGTTTCTGGTGCTTCTGCAGGATCTTGCAATTTGGACCTACAAATAGAGGCTTATGTAACCAGAGAAAAGGTGCAACCGCTGGAGAAAGCGGAACCTGCCCGGATCATTCGCTTCAGGCCACTGCCATCAGATTCTCCCATATCTCCCAACTTGGGCAAAAATAGTTGGCTTTGGCTCGCCGCAATCATCTCATCCTCTTTCGTCATTTTCCTTTTCATTTTGGGTATCATTACTCGCTACTACATTTACCCCATTGATCACAACACCAACAAGGTCAACCTGATGACTCAAAGGACCGTGCTAACTACACTCATCATATGCTTCTCAATCGCGATCACGGCCACCGCTGCTTTTCTGTGGAACAAGAACCAAAATGTCAAGGAAACCAAACAGATCCAGGATTTGGAAGATTCAACAACAGGAGGATCATCCGGCTCCATGCATGATGCTGCTGATAGAGAATTAGAGAGTCTTCCCCATCAATCTCTCGTCAAATCTATGAAGGTGCACTATGGAGCAAGACCCGACCTCAAGCGTAAGCAAATCTTTTAACTCCCATGATTGGCGAACACTCGTTTTGGGTTTTGATTTATCATTGTATGACGGAAGTGTTCTTGCAGGAATTTTGCTGCAGAGTAAGGGATCAAGCATTGGAGCTCTCGTGTGCGGCCCTAAGCAGATGAGGCATGATGTAGCCGCCATTTGCTCATCCGGTTTAGCAGAAAACCTTCACTTTGAATCAATCAGCTTCAGTTGGTGATTACCTGATCCTCGGATTGGATACCAGATGCATGTATGTAAAAGCTGAATAGTAATCTAAGCTGAACCAGGGACCCATCAAATACGTGTTTGTGTGTGTATAGCTAGTAATTCTATGTCATCGTTATTAGTGTTGATTGTTGTATTCCCCGCTCCCCGCCCCCAATTTTCTGGTCGAAAGCTAAGTACCATACGGACGTTACTAAGTTCGATGTTGAAGAAGTTTGGATGCCCGCCGAGCGGCCTAGATTTCAGAGATGCAGTCTCCTTGTTTATCATCTTATAAAAAGATCAAATATTTTACTCTAGGTTTAATTCTTCCACCGTCGAGCAATATCTAATGGAGAATTCATAACTGGCATTCAAAGTTCGTCTTCAGAAGCTGGCTAAGCAAAATTTATAGATAAAACCCAGAACCGTATGAATTAAAAGGTCATACATTCTTCCTACAAAAGAGAAGGAAATTATGCAAAAAGCCTTGTGTCTTTCGAAAGGGAAACAAAAATTGCGAAGACCAAATGATAAGCGCGACAATACACGATAAAGCATCAATTGTGCGAGTACCACAGTTTTGAGTAGATCGTTCACTCGTTAACATAGGTTCAGAAATCAACAAAAAATGTGCCACAGAACCATAAGATTGGGTTAGGATTCAGGGACAATCGTTTAACTACCAGAAACTCCTGATACTACTTGTACTCTTTGACTTCCAGATTGAAACATAGAATTCATTTAGGTTGGGTAACATAGGCTGCCGGAAAGAAAGTCATGAACTTCTTTCATGTGATAAACAAGTTCATAAAGCGTGGTGATGACACGAAATCAAAATGTATTGAAAAATCATCATATCATAATTATTCAGCAATCAGTTTCCCCCTACAAAACAACCACTCTCTGTCTCTCTTTACCCAAAATGGTTGCCGCAGAACCCCCGCACCACCCCCCCCCCACCCCCCTTCAAAACCTAAAAAAATAGAAAACCCCAAAAGCCAGCACAGGGAAGAATGATACAAGCTCTGAAGAAAGGAAAATGCTAAGAGGTAATTTACTACCCTGGTATCGCTTATTTACAAGTAAAACTTACAATGACTTTCGAGAGACGCAGTCTCATTCCATCACTCCATGACGATGCTCATTACACAGCTCAATAGCACGATACAAGGCATTTCATTTGTAGGTGGTGGCAGTCACTTTCTTGGCCAACAAGGTTTTACTCGAAGGCAGTGCCACATGCATTTGCATCATTTGAAGCAACATGGTTGACCAGTTGCAAAAGGTTTCGAAGCATCCAAAGAGCTCATTTCTCATCTGAAGTTGTACTAGAAGAATATGAACCAGATGAAAGCCTTTCTTCCAAGGCTTCAACCAAATCATGGTATTCAGAAAATACAGGATGCGACTGAAATGAAAATGAAAAACCGATGGTGAGGCACGTGAGATATAGCCAAAAGAAACTAAGAGTGTAACAAACGTTTACATCCGTAAAGGAATGACTCAGATACCTGTAGGGTTATGCTATAAGCTTTCCACAACCGCAGATCATGGCGGAACAAATCAAAGAGAACCTGAGTAAATGTCAAAAGGTAATTAATTCAAAACAATTAACAATCTGGCTGCTGCAGCCTTTGATACTAACTACATAATTTCTTTTCTTATCTTCCTCAAGTGATTAAAATCACTAGATTATCCCTATTTAAGAGAACTTGAAGTGATCTTCTAAGTGTCAAACGTGAATCACCAAAAAAAAACAGCAACAATTGACCCAACTATTGCACTGGAGTATCTATAAACAATTATTCACACTCTAAAAGTGATTGTTTTGTTTGAATTAGAGAGAAATTACAGAAAATAACTGTTAGAAATGGTACTGCATGATACAATCTTTGTGAAATTTAATAAGGAAAATTAAATCTAAAGAAAATTAACATCTTGAACTGTCTCGTACTTGTTAACTGAAAATGCACTGACTAAAGCAACCAATTAATTGTCACATTAGCAGACACGCAGAACAGGATAAATTCTCAAACACATGCATTGATTATGTTTAGTAAACCTCGGATCGCCTCAAAAGTGTAGCCAAGACTACAATCCACTCTTTGAACTTTACGGAGCACATATGTGCCAAAAGGAATTCTGCATCCAACCGGCTCTGTAATGTTCCCATTTGAAGCTGGCAAAAATGACGACTGAATCAGAAGAAGCAAAAAGGAAAAAAGAAAAAACGAACCTGAAGCAAATAAAAAACGAACTTTTCTTCCCATGGCAGCAGTAAAGGAACTATTGCTCTTTGCTTCAAAGAATTCTTAAAAATTATTGATGTGTAACAAGACTTCAAATGAGACATTCAATTAGGACTAATTGACAAAACTTACAAATAGATGTCAAAATGCAATATGCCGAGCAGTAATATGGTTCAAGCAAAAGCAGAAAAACGGATGCCAATATGTTCTTACGAAAGGAACAAAATATTGCCAAATTTTAATCTTTTTCTTTCAATGCACTACTTAAGACAGCAAGGCATATAAAATTTTGCAACATAAGCACGACACTTTCAGGGGAAAGAACACCAGAAAAAAGGGCACTACTGAAATGCCACTAAAGTGAAGCAGCAATTAGTATGAAACTTACACAAACAGAAGAAGACCACACCAATAAAATAAGAATCTTTTTTCCAGCTGGAGGTTTTTCACTATCAGAGCTGGAAGTGTGTGCAAACGAAATTGGAGGATTTAAGTAGAACAAGGCAATGAGCTATATGATTATCTTAATTATGTAATGAAGAAAAGATGAATAGACCACCAAATACGCCACAAGGAGTCAAAATACAAAAAAAAAAATTAAATAAAGCACAAGAATATGCATGGATATTTGTACCTTCTGCCCAATTAATTCAAGCCCTGAAGCAAAATTTTCTAAGCGAGCACACCCGTATCTTTCTCGTTGAAGAAATTCCTGAAATATATTTTTTTGTTACATGAATTGTAATACAACCAACAGTGGCACATGTTGCATTGTGAATGAAATATTAATATCCTCTCACCACTAGGTCAAACTGTGTGCCTTTGATGAATGCAACAAGCTTTGAAAGCTCTTTCCCAGACATTAGGTAGCTAGCATGGCTTTCTAAAATGTTCTTAACAGAAGCAACATGAGCACTCTGCTCTTTAAATGAGCTGCTCCATCATGTTTAGAGAGGACGAAGTAATAGAATAGTTAGTTAATGCAGGGAAAACATAAACAGATACAATTGCTGTTAAACAAAATACTAAAGGCTGCCTTTTACCTCTTTGACTCCAAATGCTGCCGCCGTTGACTAGATGGGAAAAGGAAGTAACCCAAGAATCTAGGCGAGAGTTTCTCTGTACCCGGGCTAGCAGGTTCATATTCCCTCCCTGATCTAAGGAGAAACCTAACCTGATAAGAAAAAAAGTTGTCTGTTAAGCTAGTCGCAAAATGTATATAAAAGATTCATCAAGTTCATACAAAGAGATGTCTATTCGATAAAACTCTTACCAGCTCCCCAGCAAGTTCGTACAAAGATTCATCGAGCGTTGCCTGCAGAAAATCAGATGAATTTTATATAGTAATTAAAACTCGCAAAACTTGAAAGAAAACTAACATAACCAAGATACCAAAGAAACCTTTGGGTTAGAAGGACACAACAAAGAATCTGTCTGACAAGTATAAGTCATATTTGCTTTTGGATGACCAGGGAGGAGTCTAATGAGTGCAGATGTTTCGTAGTTTCTTGAATAATTTCTTCATATGATATTTGACAAGATATGAACATATAGAGTTAGCCCATGTGAGCCTTTACTTCATGGGAAACAAAACTGAAAGCATCAGAAGGTAACCTGCAATAGACGCAATGCACAGTACTGGCTGACAGCAGGACCTTCAAGTTTAGCGATAACCTGATAGAATAGGCAGCAATAAAATTAGACATTGTTACCATTTCCATGCAGCATATACAGTTAATTTCCTAAGGAAAAACTCAGTGTGTCTAGTTGATTTACAGAATAAGTGCAAGCAATCACACGGTCAACACCAGATAAGAAAGTCTTTTCAAAACCCATGAAGGTCAAATCTATTTATTGGCTCTATTCAAGCAGAAGATGAACCTTTTTACCAATCATAGATAGTCGCTGACTTACTAGATAAGACATCTATCGATATTATTTGATGTTGGGTTCACCAAATTTAAAAAAAAAAAAATCTTCATTGCATAATGTTTGCACACATGAAGCAGAAGCCGAAACTTTGGATTTGCTAATATCTGAAAACTGTTACAGAGAGGATTTCAGGAATTTTCAGGGTAATTGCAAGTGGCACTCACAAGAATATAGCAAGCTGCAGTACGATACCATCTGCGCTGAAAGCATTCCTCAAATAACCTAACAGATAAAAAGCCACTTTGTCATTAACCAGGAGCCTTGTAATTTGGCCAGTTTTGATTTAAAGTGAAAAAAAAATTTCTTTTCTCCATCCTTTTACGCAGTCTTTGCTGTAAAGTGCATGTTATAAAGACAAAGCCAGATACATACTCTGTCGATCTCCCAGCAGCTGAGAATAAATCTGCCCAATGTCGGCCATCAGTTTTTCTAGCAACACTAACAACCACATCAAAATATTCTGGAAAGTTCTTTATGAGATCGCAGGTCTTCTCCAAAAGAGAGGAGGTAGAAGCATGATTAGGAACAGGTGCGTGGTTTTTGCTGGCTTGCCTACAGAACATTAAAACAAGAAGTTTTGAGACACTAGCCAGAAATAATACAGCCAAGTTATATACGACATCCAAGGGCAGAGAGAAGAATATTCTCTTCTCATTTAGACTGAATAATCCAAACTGATTAAAATACAAAAAGTGAAATTATTGACTCGATATCAAATTTTTCACTTGCTCCTCATTAAAAAAGATGCCTAACTTAATCTCATGAAGCTGTCTGACCAATTGGAATTATATCTAAGATTGAGATACCGAAGTTAAAAAACTATCAGCTTGCCTTACCAAAGGAAGACCATCAAACTTTTTAATTAACCATAAGGTAGCCTTACCAAAAGAAGACCAGTTAAACACAAAGGTAAACAGACCATTTCGGGATAGGCACAGAATAGAAGGAACAAAAAGGCAAGTTTATCTCAGTCAAAATTTTGAGAACTGAAAAAGACTGAACCACTGAGGTTTCTACTCAATTTACCTGGATATTTCCGCATCAAATACTGTAAAAAGAAGCCATTCAAGGCAATGAGAAAAATGTGGCTTCTCTGCTGACAATTGCGCCAAACGTAAAGCTTCTTCGCTCTTGTT